TAGGCAATGGCGTTTCAGGGGCCTGCCGGGCCGTCGCGCTGGGAGAGGTTCGCCGCGGCGTGCTCTGCGGGTGGCGACGCGCGATGGGTTTTGGCCCTCACGGCACTGGGCCAGAACGGCCCCTTCTCTCCTGGGGGAGAGCAAGGGGCCATCGCGCCTCGCTATCTCCCCTTTAACCGCTTGCTGGAAGGAGTTCGGTGCAGACTGATAGGAGCTCTGCCTGGTCTGATAGGGAGGATTTAAAGGCTTATCATGTTTGCAGCTACCAGCGTGCACGGGACTGGATGAGAGCGCGTGTGCGCCGAGGTCTCCAGCAAGGCAGGTTGGGGCCGGTGTCTTGCGGGGGCCTTTTTTGCTGGCACTGCACGAAGGGGTTTCCAGGCTGTGCAGGAGGTGCACGAGTTTGCCGTAGCTGCTTCGGTTGCTTTGCGGAAGGGTAGGATGGATCCTGAGTCTCCCCTTCACCCGTCGAGGAGGGCTACAACCCGGCATGATCTCAGCTGTGGGGCTGTACTTGCTGGTGGCCTCAGCTGGGGTAGCAGCCACACAGGAGGAGGTTGAGGCGACCAACCTTTCTCACACTGTGAGCTGCACAGTGATGTCCTCGTGGCCAGGAGCACAAAGCACATATCCTGGTACACTGGGGAGCTCTAGGATTTGTCTCCAAGGGAGATATGGTGACAGGTCCTTTGGGACCACCAGAAAGAGGGGTGAAGCAGACTCTTCCAGTTGCTCTAGGGTTTCTCAGTCCCTCTCCCTTTCTTTTGAAGGAGGAACCTTTCTGGAAATGGGAGTGCATTTGGCTGGTTAGATGTTCCTTGGGGGCACCCTGTTTTCCTTTGAATTTGGTATTCCACAGGGGATTATTTACAGCTTTCTTGGGTTGGTTTCAGTGCCAGAACGTGCTGCAAATATCATTTTGCCACCCCCTGCAGAGCCAGGCCACCAGATCCTCGTGGCTTCCTTGTCCTAACCTTTGCGTTGTTTTTCTGTAAACACACTGACAGCTCAAGGTTTATTTCTGTGGGCTCCGTAAGTTGATCTTTCCGAGACTGCTGGGGAACAGTATTGCAACATTCCTGCCTCTTCAGCTAAGGACATCGTTATGAGGCAGAGTGTATTTTTATCGGATGAACTCATCCGAGCTCCCAGGGTACAAGCAGAGACGCTCATTCCTGATATGTGCCTCTTTCTCCCCCACCATCCGTGCGATTCCCATCAAAATGCACTTGCGGCTCTCTTGTGCGGGACTAGCCCTGTGCTACTGCACTTCTGTTGCAGATGGTGACCTTAACAACCAAGGACATGGGACAAGGCAGCCTGGCCACATCTGGCTTTATCCCTTCTCTAAGTGACAAGTCTGTACATAATAGGAGGATGCAAAGGAGCTTTTCCCCCTCTGGTCCCTCTTCCCTTGGAAGTGGCTGCCACCCCAGCAGCAGATCTGTTCTTGTCCAGCTTGGACGCTGAAGCCCTGGCAAGACGGTCTGCATAGGCAACATCCCGCCCTCTCCAGAAAGTTGCTTACAATCCTACTCATTTGTAGCTCTGTAAGAGAGTCCCTCCAGAGATGCTGCATGGGGATTGGCTTGCTGCTGGAGATTTAGGAGAAGTTCCTGGCTGGCTGCTCCTGGTTGTAGACTAAGGTTTGGGGAAGCCATGGTTGGTAAGGAGCAGAGTTGTTAAAGCAAGCAAGTGTACGCAGGTGCTTGGGGAGAAGAGAAACTCCCATTATAACCTTTAGGGACAAGACATGTCACAGACAAAGAACAGGCTGATGGCTTCATCAGGGGATCAGCCAGTTGCTTTTGATGGTGAATTTGGCTCTTTCACCATGGTGATACCAAAGCAAGGGCAAGGTAGAAAAAAAAGGAAAATGAGTGAAGGATTCTACCCTAGAAATGCCCCTGGGAGAGGTGGGTCCATACCATACCTTCCCCAAAGCTGGCATCTGCATCTGCTTTGTGCCAGCAGCGGAGCGGTCCCTCTGGGTAGCGGGCACCAGATTGAAGACATGGGAACTAAAAAAGCCGTTCCCAGCTTTCCCAGTGTCTCCGTCCTGTTCCTCGGCTGGTGGCGGGAGATCAGTTCTACTTAAAACCTTTATGTGGAAACTTATTTTTCTGGCATGAAGGACTTATTCATAGGAGCCCAGTGGTCCTGTTTTTCCCCTTTCATAAAAATAGCATATTCACCCTGCTGATGATGTGATATTTTGCTCCAGAAGGGCACATTTTTCTACATGTTCTTTCCCCCATTTATTCAGCTAGTGCCCATGACTTCATTTATTTATTGTAAATAAACAGCTGATACCATTTCTTGCAAGCTCTCTTTCTGTGCCGCTCTTTGTTACTGTTCTGGCAACAAAACACTTAACTACCCTTTGTCAAGCAGCAAATTTTTGCACCCATCCAGCTAGGGCTATCTTAGCGTGACATTGTTAACCCTGTGACGCCCAGTCAAGTCCAAGCTAGAAACAGAGCCAGCTCTGCTGCTAAAACCAACAGATTAGCTAGTTTATTTGTGTTCAGTAAAGCCTGTGGGATTCACGATGGCTATTTTGGGAATTTTTCTGTGGAGATTGAAGGTAGGAAGACTCTTGGGAGACAATTTGGGTAATTAAAGTCTCAATCTTGATTTTAATTTGCCCATGAAGTAACTGTTTTAATGGCCATCGGGGCCTGCCTGGGTTTCAGCTGTTATGACGTTTAGCGTCTCTGACACTGAGATGTTAATAACTCTTTATTTAGCCAGCAAGAGAACGCGCAAAGGCCAATTTTTTTAGTTGGATTTGATAAGGCAAATAGCTTCTGAGTAAATATGTCAGGCTGTTATCTGGGGTCCATCTCAAATTAGCCACAATTACTGGATATGCTGTTGTACTCATGTCAGCGCGAGCTTGGAGCAGACCTCACCTGTGGGATATTGTTAGCTCTGTTTGACAAGGTCCATGCTTGGATTTGCAGGAAAGAGGTTGCAGGGCAAGCTTGGAAGGGGTCTAGCAGAGGTGCTGGGGATTGAGAGCAGTGCTGTTCTGTTGTACCCATATTATTGGGAGCTGGAGCAAGGTTGGTACAAACATTGCCTCCACACGTTGCTCCGAGTGCAGAATTTACACGAGATGAAGTTGTTAACTGTGTGTTACCAATTGCTGCTGATGTCTGCTGATGGGGACTAGTTTGCCTCTGTTGTGTGTCCTGGGCTCTTTCATTTGAGTGTTTGAGCCTTGCTGCAAGCAAAGTCTCCCAGTGGCCTGAGGGAACGTTCTGTGGCCGTGAGAGAATTAGTAATGGAAAACACCAGATATATGAAAATGCGTCTCTTTTCTTGCAGGTTCTCCAGGTCAGATGAGTTGTCCCGGCACAGACGTTCCCACTCGGGAGTGAAACCGTATCAGTGTCCCGTCTGTGAGAAGAAGTTTGCTCGAAGCGACCACTTGTCCAAACATGTCAAGGTGCATCGGTTCCCACGAAGCAACCGCTCCGTCCGCTCTGTGAACTGATTGGTCCCACTTTCCCCTTCCCACCCAGACATCCTGGAACAGACGAAGACAGCACTTTGCTCACTATATTTCTAGTGATAATTTATTTGTCTCCACAGAACAGTCAATGCTGTTACTTGATACCACCATGTCCGAGTGTCCCATGTCCTTTAAACATGATTTGAGAATTAAGTTCTTTTGGGTCAGGGGAGGGGGGTGTTTCTTCCTTTTTTTTTTTTTTTAAGGATATTATTTTCTTTTCCTTCTATCTTTCCCTCCTTTGCTGCTGCTTCTTTTGGAAATTACAGTGTTTTATTTTTAGCTGTTTTCTGCTGCACAGGAAAATGTAAGAGTTGCTTGCTGCTTCTTAATTATAGCCCTAGCATTCCTGAGGGCTTTGCTCATGTACAGGCCATTCATTGTGAGTTTTTATTAAGCTGCTCTATTTGTCCAGTTTGGAAACAGCAAATTCCTTTTGAAATGAAAACAACTCCTTTGTTTTTGGGTTGCTTTAGCCAAGGATTTGTAGGGGCCGGCAATAGGAGGAGGAACAGTGGGAGTCGGGGGGAGGCAAGGCATGGAGAGCACTGGAATGCATCTCCTGACCCCTTGGGTTTCTCTGGCTCACACTTACCTCTTCCTTGGTGAGGGCTATATATACGTATATATGTGTATATGTGCATGTATACATACATATATATATATTCAAGCAAAGGCAGATCCCAAGCAAACCTGGAAGCTCAGGCTGGATTAACTGGCCTGGAGTGGAGGCCTTTTGTTGAAGCTCAGTGGACGCCATGTGCACGCTTTTCACACCCTGTGCTGCTGTTGAGGATGAAGGAGGCCCACACGTTGAAGGAAACTTTGCTTTCCTTTGGTGCTGGTTGACAGTGTCCACTCACTTTAGCAGAAGGGATGTTGTCTAGTGCTACAAGCCACAGGAGGCCATTTGTCAGAACTGTGAGGCTCAGCTCCTGTCTCTGCTCTTGGCTTTTTGTGTGATGCTGGGGGCGAAACTGGAGCGCCCGCTCTGGAGGTGCCCGGCAGTCTTCGGTGAGCACTGGGCACCCTGAGTGCCCACTACACCACCCTGCGCGAACTGAAGGTGCTCACACCTCGCTGGTGGGGGCTGAGCGTCCGGGCCAGGCTCCGTTTCCCCATCCATCCACCGGGGTCTTGTCAGATGTATTGGTTCCTGTGGGAGGTTGGGAGGCATCGTGGCCTGGTGTGACACCACCGTGAGATCTTCTGTCAAAAGGTGATCGTAAGTGCTACATGTTTTTCTTTTCCTACCAACAGCCATGTCAGAGCTCCACACAGCTGGGGTGGGCAAATGGGTGAGAACAGTAGCCAAAAGAAACAAATTTACATGGTAGCTGGCTAAGAAGGGAATTTAAACAAATAATCAGATGGTAGCAGGCAAGTGATTATGTTTGTGTTTCTTCTTGTTTTGTTTTTCCTTTTGGACTCTGGCGATTGTAAGAAGCTTTAGATGAAAATAGGATTCAGTAATTAGAAACGATTTTATAATGGATGTTACATTTCCTTTCCATTCGCAGATGGCATCTGTTTGTCTTTTTGTTGACAAAACCGGAAATAGAACACTGCAATTCTAGCGCTAGGTAGTGCAGGAGTCCATGCTGTATGTAAGAGCAGTAGGTCTAGCTAAAGCGAATGCATTCCTTTCGTCCTCTAGAAATTAATATAAATGAACTATCATCTATTGACTGGTTTATATCACATCCTATGAATGTATGTAAATAAAACTGTACATAGATGCATATCTATATAAAATATCTTTTAATAACGTATCAAAATTTGTGTAAATTGGAAACAAAAATGCCTATAAAGCCAGTGTACATAAGTTACAATTCTGTATATTTTCTTTTGTTCTTCATAAAAATATATTTACTTTGACAATAAAATGAAAATGGAAATTTTAAATCCCTTTTTGAAATTATTATTCATTAATTTCCTTTGTAGCCAGCTCTTTAACCAAGACGTTAGCGCTTGAAATTTTGATTCACCTGGATGTAACTTTTCAGGTGCTGAGTAACAGGGAGACGACAGAACAGCTGTAAAGGTGCCTTCAAAGACTTTTCCCATTTGAGAAATCCTACGTTAAGGGAAGGCTTGCTTGCTACAGTCCACGTGAAGAGTGCTGGGCTGGTGCTTGGCAGCACCCAAAGTGCCGGAGTTCTGGGAGATGTGAGATGGTCCAGCTGCCCCTTGTGGGAGTCCTCATGCCTCGCCTGGCAGCCGCTGTGGGACCCAAATGCCTTCTGTGGTTTCCGACTGCTGTGGAACAGGTCTGCAGCCACAGTAAAACTGTGGTTAACAAATTAGCGCAAACAGATTTTGAGGAAATTCAAGCTCTGATGGTTAGTGTAAAGGAGGAGGCTTTGAGACTCTGCGGCTGTGACAGTGACTCACTGCATGACCCAGGGCAAAGGACTCCATTGCCCTGTGCCTCAGTTCCCCTCCTCATAAAACAGGGATAATAATGCATCATGGTGATATTGTGGGACTTATTTTATATTTATGCAATCCTTGGATGGAAGAAGCAAGCAATAACAATAGTAGTCAAGGGATTAGATGGTGAAATAAAGCCTTAGTATGGCAGAGGTCTTGGTACCAAGGTGCTTCATTTGGCTCTTCTGTAAATCCCATGTCTGAAAGAGTGATGTGTGGGATCTGTGGTATGAAGCATGCCTCAGGCCTGAGGAGAAGACCTTGTGTCCTGCAACCACCATTGCTTCCCATTCCTAACAACACAGGCATGAACATGATGCTTTTGTGATCCACAAACCTGGACATCTCTTGCACTGTGCTTTTGATTGCTTGGCCTCTACTCGAAGAAGAACCCAGCAACGTTGATGGCATTAAAATCCCTCCTGAGGTTCTGTCGGCACAATGGTACAGAAGGTCCAGATCTTCTCCCAGCAACAATTGCTATGAGACTAACAGGCACTTAGGGATTAAAAAGTCGCTCCCTGAAGCACAGCCACCAAAAAACACTAGCTGATGAGCCAGAGATCTCCAGATCCTTGATTATTTTTCTAACAAAACCTCTATGGGTCTGGCAAGAAGGTTGATGGATGTGTCAGAGTAAGCTCTGTTCACTCCATGTTGTTGTTACCTCCTAAGATGTAGCATGAAGATCAGAAACCCGAGGACAGTCGTTTTAAGAGTGCTAGACTGCTAGTTGTGTACGCACTTTAATTAGCAAACCTGCACCAAGAGGATCTCCGATTCCCTTCTGTTCTCACCCTATTGACATTATGTATTAAACCAGTTGCTTTATTTTAGCCAGCGTCTCAGTCTCTTCCCCATCTCATTTGGAGTTCTGATATTGCTGTAATGTTGTGCAATTCACTCTACAAGAAACTTGGGGCAGAAGTTGTTATTTTCTGCAAGAGGCAATGCTTAAAGCTGAAGCGGAGTAACCCAAGATATCTGCTGTTGGAGCAGAGCAGCATAGAAATCTAAGCTCTAAGCAGCTAAGTTTTAGCCTGGAATATTTTCCATGAAAGACTTATTTCTCTCATTTTATTTTATTTTATTTTATTTTGTTTTGTTTTGTTTTAAGTATACTTTCTGAGTGTGATTTGTGTGGGGTATTTTTTGACTAAGTAATACTTATCTTCAAGGAAATTTAAGTTTATGTAAACTTTGTTGTGTTTTGCTCAAAAGAGCAGGGCTGTATTTATTGTAAAAGGAGAGTTAATTCTGCATGAAAACTCATGATTTTTTTCAGAGGTTTGTCACCAAAAGAACGTAGAAACTTCCACATGAAGTTTTTGGTATTTGTTTTATGTAGAATTACTTGTCTGCCTGGGCCGTGCTATAGGTCTTGCTGACTCATGGGACAAATGAGGCCTTGCTTTCAACCTGATTACTCTTTAAGCACTTGAAGATAAACATATATTTGACGCTTTGATGCCACAACTGAAGATACCTTTATTATGTCCCTGGTTCAGCAACTCCATGTGGCAAAGCACAGCATGGCATCATTATGCATATGCTTAAGTCTCGTTGACTTAAGATATCTATAATTGGGTTTCTGAAATGCGAATGGACACGTGTGCAGTCTTTTGTCCTTCACATGACAATTGTGATCCATTTTACAGCACTAGCTGCTGCTCTATATGCTTCTAAAAGGTTTTATTGGCAATTTCTGGCTGTTTAGTCTCTATTCATCAGAGCTAATGGTGAAAAACCAGTATTATGGGAGGTAAGGCACTGTCATCTGGGAAGGGTATATTGGGCAGGTGAAGATTAAGCACTGTGAACAAGAGGAAAGTAATATTTCTGTAAGGAAACACGACTTCTGTGACCTGTGGCTAAGTGGAGACCAGTGGAGTGATATGTCCAAGATGACAGAGCAAAGCAGAGGGAAAATGGGAACAGAATCAAGAAGTCCTAAATCTCCTTTGCCCCAGACAGTGGCACAGACCACTTATCAATAACACGCAGCAGATTATAGAAGGCAAAGAGTAATAGGACGTGTAAGTGAGACATCAGATAAGCAAAGAAAGGTAAAGACTGGGCGTGAGATAAAGTCAGGTTGCACTGATAACGTTTACCTTTGGAAAGGATGCCAAGGAGAGAGAAATGAGAGCTAGCTGCCAGTATGCTTGACTTGGGACTCACCCAGGCTGCCTGGAACTGGCCCTGCTCCCCCTACCCTGTGTCATGCTGGGCTTTTTCCACCGGCAACTTGGAGGGAACTCGGGGAACTGCACCCCACAAAAGGTGAACCGGCCGATGGAGCAGAGGATGTAACAGGAGGTGGCTCATAATGGCAAACCTGGCTCCCTGGAGGAGCGTTTGAGTTCAGATCCTGCAATGTTTGCATTGGTCTCCTACCCTCTCCAGGGGGCTGTTTCCACTGGATGCCAGTGCTGGCAACTTTCTCCTTGTCTAAATGACCACTGTACATTTAATCTAAACAACCAGGTGACTCCAGCACAAAGCTGGTGGCAATAAGCTAGTATTAATGATTACCCCAGGCCCCTTGCAGTTATGTAAGCCTGGATGTTCTGTTAACACAGGCACTTGGCTCGAACTTGCCCTCCCTGTCTTGGAGAAATACCAAGGACCTGCCAATGCACATAGAAAGCCATTTGGAGCAGGTTGGGATTTTCCTTCTCCCCTTCTGACAGCACCTATGAAACTAGTTATTCACTCAGTTCAGTAATTGCCATGCTTTGTTTTCTTGTTATTCAGACACATTGCTTTCAAAGAATGAGTTGTGCTAAGCTCCCACTGACTTCAGGACACGTCAAGGACTGTGACTGTCATGGGTTATCCAGGAAAAAATTCCCAACTAAGGCAGGGACCTCTGATCCTGGCAAGTCCTTGACTTCTCTTGCTTGTTCCTTCTGAGGCATCAGTGTTTTTGTGGCTTTTAATCTCTGCTTGGGGGGGGGGGTGTAATTTGAAGGTGTGTAGTGTGTGAAAAATAGATGTTGTGAAGACTCTCCTACCCTTTACATCTAGAGTATATTTGCATGCAGCTACAGGGATGGGACTTAGTGACTCTTCTTATCAGATGTTCCTGTATCACAGGGTTTGTAGCTACTTGGTGCTCAGCATCTCACAGGTGTGCACTCAGATCTGCTCTGCAAACCCAGTGCAGGTCATCCTCCAGCTGGAGCTAGAGCACATCCTTCATCTCTTGCTGCGTTCCCTACCCGAGTACCACTTCCAATGGTTTTGTGGTCAGGCTGACTCAAAGCTTGTGTAAGTACTTCCTCTCGTCCATAGCTAAGGCTGGATGAGCTGCTCGGCCCTCAGAGGATGCCACTGTGGAGAGCTTTCAACAGCTCACCTATGCTGCCCCAAGGAGCATGTGTGCTTTGGCCCACATTTCACTGAGCCACGGCCCACTATCCGGGCAGCCTGCGGTTTAGAGCAACATCCGAGAAGGCTCCAGCCAGCAGGAGCAGAGGGCAGCGTTTGCATCTCTGCCGAGTGCCGCAAGCCAAGGCGTTATGTAAAATGGGAGTGAAGTATATGAATGACAAGTAACTGCTGGGAAGGCCAGCTCTCATCTTGCTTGCACCAACGAATGGTGGGCAACTCTTCCCCTGTTCATACTGGAGTCATCACCACTCTGAAAGGGAGAGAAAATCATAGTGAACATGGCCTGTAGTTTTCTGGAAGGGAGCAGAGGGAGGAAGGAAAATAGAAACTGAAGCCCTTTAAGGCTTAGCAGATACTCTTTTTCTTTTCCAGCACAAATAGAGTGATAAGGTCCCTTTATGCCTGTTGTACAGCAGAAGGAACGTCTTCTCCACTAGCAGCCAGTGTCAAAGCAGCCAGTGTACAGTGCTCTGGGGCAAGAGCAGCTTTATGGCAGGGGGCTTAGCAGAGGGTAGTCACAGGGCTTGTGCCTTGGACAATCAGCAGGCCTAAAGAGAAGGGGCTGAGAAAACTCCCTGTTGGTCCCTCAGGTCCTTCCTTGTATAAGGATACCACTTTTCTCTTCCTGTTTCTGCAGCTGGTTTTTGGAGAGGCCTTGGATGAGTCTTAGCATATCGCCCACCTCAGTTTCTCTAAACAGAAATCTTATTTATCCCTATGACCCGGATACTGGGAAACTCAATATTCACAAAGCACGCTGAGATCCTTGGTGGAAATGTCTATCCAGGAATTGTTTCACATGTGGCTGAGGGTAACGTCCCAAAAGAAGTCCAGCAACCCACAGAAAGAAAGGTACAAAGAATTACTGTTCTGTATCTAAAAAAGCCTCTGGCACCTGCTTCCCCTATTTAGTCCAGCGGGCACTGGCTTGGGCCCTGCTAGTTATTCCAGCGCTATGGTTGCAAATACAGAGATTGGGCTATTGGGCTGAAAAGAGTCCAGGCATTTAATAAACTCGCCTTCCATAAGTGAAGGAGTGACGTGAATGTTCGGGTTTGGC